TATGCTGAGCCATAACTTTCCCGGCGACAGTGTCTTATAAAGCCATGGGAGGTGCACAGCCTCCCTACCTCTCCTTTTCAGCCTTCAGGGTAGAACTTGCACTAGTCCCAACCTCTTCTTAGTTTGCCGTGCATGCATATCAACAAAAGGTGGAGGTGTGTGACAATCTCAAAGTTAGAGGACTTCGACCTCCCCCCCCTCCCTCCCCCCGCAACTGCGTCCATCGGTTTAAATTGCTGTTGGTACGGTTGATAGGATCGTACTCTGATGAGAGAAAATCCTGGAAAAGTTACTGCTTGGTAAATAGTGATGTTGGGAGACCGTCCAGGTCCAATAAATCCGAGGGAAGAATTATGGGCCTTCACCTTTTTTTTTCAAAGGAGTCTGGGCGGGTCAGAATGTCTCCAGGGAGAGAAATGTTGACGAAGGAATCGAGGTTGACTCCCTTGACGTCACCGAACCGACGTCGGGAGCGACTCGAGAGACATCTGGCGGTGATTGGGCCGGTAATCCTACGATGTAATTTCAGCAGTTTGCGCCGAGCAGTAAAATTTCCTTTGACATAATGGGCAAACGGTAAAAAGTTAGCATATAAAGGGTTTCCTTACGCTAATTGCAACTCGCTGGCAAGTCGCTTGCACTGGGCAGTGATGGGGCGGCTCGGCCGTTTGGGGAACCATTCCAGGAGACGTAGATGGCTGCGAACTCGGTCACGGAGATGCATGGGGTCGTCAGTGGGAACAAAAATTCGAGGTTTCGAAAATATCCAGAGAGCAGCGCAGGGCTTCCCGACGATCTCAGCGGATCGCCAGGGACGAAAATCCGGCAACCCTGCTCGATGCGACTCGGCGCGGTGCCGAGGCCGGTCGGCCGATTGCTTTCGTCTCTAGAATTCTCTTGAAGCGCTTAAATCTATAGCAACAGAACGCTCCGAAATTACAGAATTAATTAATGGACCCATCAGTCCTAACTTTTCTGAGATTCTCAGTGTGGTCTTTCCATGAAAAAAAGTAAATTCTATTTTTTCCTCCTCTCGCTAATTCCTGCTATGACAAAATCTAACGCAGATATAAGCCTCAATCTAATTTCAACTCATTGATAAAGACACTCAGGTCTATTTTTCGCTTGAGCTGAAAGGGGAATCTGAATGAAATTAATCTAGGCGCTCTAAAAGCAACTTTTTTCCCTCCACCCCTGAATTTAGACTCGCTCAAAAACTTCACAATAAATAAGTTTTTGAAGCACTTTTCTCATTGCATCGATAGGCGATTCCGTGCTTGAACCCTTTCAAAAATCCGGAATTTCCTCAACTCTGGGATAATTTGAAGAAATGAAATTTAGCGTGCTTAAAATCCTCTGCGAAAACTTGAAGCAAGTTTTAAGCAAATTTGAAGCACATTTAAAGCAATTTATCTCCAAGGATGCAGGGGAAAAGGAATTAATTATTTGGTTACCCTGAGCGGTTAACATCCGAGAGAAAGATATGGGCTTGTAGAGACGCGTGCACTTTCCGTTGTTGGCAATAAGCGGTTTCGTGCCGGCGAGCGAAATTAGATTCCATTTTATCCCTTGGGGATCTGGCTTTATCCATCATCAGCGTGATTGCCAGCTGTGCTGTATCCATTAGATAGGTGATTTTGCTTTAAAATTGATGCTATCTAGTGGGCATGCCATGACATTCTATAGCAGGCATGCCATGACATGCCATGGCAGATGGATCAACCGCTGATATCACTGAGACGAACATGGCGCTCCAGACGTTGGAGGATGACTGGGGATGGTTGAAAGATGACTGGGGATGGCCGGGAACAAAAAAAGTCCGCCTGGATTTCGCATGTAGACAGTCCGAGGCCTGGGTCTACAGGGCTCTCGCAGCGTACCTCATAAGTAATTGCAGAGTCGGCTGAAAAATACTTCTTCCTCTTGAAAAAATGATGAGCCAGAGGAACTCCGCTTTAAATTATTCCCAGCGCGATGCTCGAAGGGATCCTCAGTCAATAATTTGAGAGGGCCTGCTAGGAGGAAACCCACCGAACTCGAATAGGAAATAAATGGGGCTCCGATGGACGTTTAGGCCTATGTCCTTGGCGCCGGTGCCATTAACGGTGGATTGCCAATGCGCATTCCAATTTGTTACTTATTCGTTATTAACTGTTTATCAACAATTTATCCTGCGAATTTTGGTTGTGCCTATTTCCTTTCTTGAACTTCTTCCAGCGACAGAATTTCACCCCTTCGTATACCTCTCTGAAAGCAACTGGAAGAACGAAATTTGGTCCTATTTCTTACCCTCTCAACACAGAGTCATTCCAGCAAATTTGAAGCTTCTTTTTATAGTTTCGGAGAAAATATCTTTTTTTTTTAAGCAAGTTTGATTTTCATTCCGATATTTGCCTTTCCCTTCTGTTTGTTCCCCACGGTTGCCGGATATCGTGTCGGAGTTGCACTTGATTGATATCCGCTTCTGCTTTTGTATCGATGCCTTGACCTTCTGATTTTTCTTATTTTATATTTAATTTGCGTATGACGCGTTTAATTAGCGAGTTCATAAGATGTGCGATGAAAAACATCGGTAAGCTGTGGCCGATGAATGAGGTTTTTGGACTCACCGTGCAACCCTGCTTGATTATGGCGTCCAACATTCCTTCGATTTTCGGAGGCAGTCTGTCCACGGACATCCGAGTCGAGGTGGTTCGAGAAACTCGAGGTAGGCCTAACATCAACCGAACGTTACGCATCCCCACAGAAGTATCACTAAAACTCTGCGATAGGCCCACTAAGGGTTTAAGTGGCCTGGAAGTCAAGGGTGAGACTCTCTTGAACGAAAAAAGGTAGGCCTAGGCCTGACTCGAAGACGTTTCGCAGGTTAGGCCTAGACCTAGCGAAATCCATATCTCTTTCGCGAATTCGTATTTGATCACTGCTGTAGTGATTTTGGGTCATACATACGGAAACTGCCAGTTCCCGAAGAAGAGGGAAAACCCGTGAAGAAACCAGAAAACCCATTCAAGATGTTCAATCTTCGACCTCTTTCCCCTCCAGTTACGACGCGCGAGAGTCCGAGGTGCTGCACTGGTCCGAAGACCCCAGCCGCATGGTGTTCACGCCCAGTCGCGGCGTCGGCTTCCTCTCCCTCTCCAACGTGCAGGCCGAAGATCAGGGGATCTACCGATGCAGGGTGGATTACCGGGCGGCGAGGACGAGCACCTTCTCACTCAATCTCTCTGTGATCGGTGAGGGACTTCCACTATTCATTCGATGACTAATATAATCATTTTATAAATGATATAATAATTATGATTTAAGTTATAAATAATTTTATTACCTCTGATGTGACTGCATGCCTCTGGAAATGGAGGCCAATCGCAGCAGTTGAGGATTAACAAAAAATATCAGACCATCGCTGAGGTCGTTGATTGCTGATCCGAGTACTGAGGGATATTGCGAAGATTTCGTCTCTGTACTTAAATCATCATTAGGCCATTGAATTGCTTCTCCAAGTCACGTTTTCGACGCTCGTAACTCGCCTCTCGAATGAGGCTGGGCCTTTTGAAGTGTTTTTTCTTCGCCTTCTATACTCGAACCCTCACTTGAAAGTTTCTAATTAAATTCATTCGCAGAACTAGCTCTTACAGGAGACTGTAGAGAAAAGGAAGGAAAATTACACGATGACCGCAACATCATTACAGTATGGTTACACTATCACTTTATATTTCAGTAGTTTGGAACACACGCAGAAACGAATGTGAGACTGGGCGCGAACACGCGATGCCACTGAACTGGTGGGGATTCATTTATTTAAGATCAGTTCTCAAGGATCTCTTTAATATTTCACCATCGGCCTGGAACCCCGGTGGCCGAAAGAGAGAGAAAGAGAGAGCGCATACCGAAAGAGAGCACACAGAAGGAGAGCATACAGAGAGCATGGCGACCCCTGGGATGCGACTGGCTGTGATGGATCATTCATTTGCGGCGGCTCCGTGGACAGACATCCATCTGGATGGCCTTCATCGATCTGGGTGACCTCACAGGCCGTGACGTGGAGGGACTTAAGCGCTGTGATTGTTTTATCGCTGATTCCCGTGGTATAAAATAGGACTAAATTCAGGTAAATGTTGTGAATTTGCATAAAATACAATTAAAATTAATTTCCAAGTGATGCTGCCGCTCTTGAGTACACTGTTGGGTCATTTTCTTTTCTCACACCAAATGACAATCTTTTTTGAATTCATTGCTTCATGCGAAGCGAGCTTCACTTTTCGCGGCCCTGTCTGGATCCAGGAAAATGTGTTCCGTGGCAGAGCCTGCGTATTTCTGACGCCGATCTTCACCTCTGCGTTCGTGTGAACGAACTTTATGTGAGAACGGATACCGCTTCGTTTTGGGACATCCGATGATGTGCCAGTGCAGCCCCATAATCGGCATCGGGGGATGGACGTCCATCAATTCAGTGGCATCGCGAGGGGGCCGGGGGGGGGGGGCTGAAGCCCTCCGAGTTTGGTTCTAGCCCCCCAACTCAGGCATAAATACATCCGCCACTACCAATGCCAAAGAGGAGTTAGTGAAATTCTAGCTACTCCCCCTCCTTCCGTTCTCATTAGCCATTAGTGTTCCCATTAGCGGAGAGAGGATTTCGCCACTGGTGAAATCCGCCGCGACTATTAGAACGTTCGCCAAATCGGGTCTTCAGGTGTGACGAGAAATTTGCTTCTTGAAAATATTTTTTTTTTGCCGAAACTCTTTATTCAAAGCAACAACCAATTTTTGTTGTTTGAAATTGCTTTCAAGTACACTTTCACAATCCATCAATTCCTTTGCACTTCGTTTCCTTCCCAGTTAATGCGAGGAAATGAACTTTGCCACGGCACATTTTCGCTTCAAATGCCTAATGCTTGCTTCTAATGCCCACTTTTAATGCCTACTTATTAAGAGCAGGGAGCGAAAATCGACTCCCAAGTCTCAATTTCCCGCCCTGATGCACCCTCGTTAAACGTAATATGATGAGCAAAGGAAGCTCGCGATGACGAAGTGCATCTGTTGCAAGTTCCCGCTCATCGATTTTTTTTTTAAATCCTTGATTATCTCATGTGAATGAACACTCCCTTCCCAGCTGCTCCCGCTGGATTACGATAAGACGCTTCGAAGACGAAAAAAATATCATATTATATCTTCTCGCTTATCTAAATGCCGGTCAGGCGAGTGGAAGCCATTCATCACGAGCCATGCATGATTCCGATATGAATGCATGATGCCGATATGAATGCGTGTGTGAGACTCGGATCCCCCCCGCTTTGAGTTCTCTTTGGCTCTCGGAAGATGAAGAATGGAGTTCATTTGGGAGTCCCTGCGAGAGATGTATGCCGGATGAATCACGAGAGGGAGAAAAAGAAAAAAGAGATGGAAGAGAGGCTCCCAGATAAACAGATTCCGAGATTCCATTCCCGGCCATGAGCGCCTCCGGAATACCAAGGAAATAAAGGACAAGGGAAATAAAGGACAAGGACAGAAAGAAGGGAAACAAGAAAAATGAAGGAAGCGCGGGAGAAAAGATATTTGTCCCCTGCTGACCATACGCCATACGTGGGAGCGAGAAACCCAAACTTTTTCTCAACACGTGATGAGCATGCAGGAGAGAGCATGGGAGGGGAGATGAGCATGGAGGAGATGAGCGCACCGTCGATCCCGGAAAGGCTTCTCCATTATAATTGAACGTAATTGGAGGGAGCTTCGATAAGTAAAGAGGCTTTCGCGAATGCTCTCGTATTCTTTCTATGTATGAGGAAGTAAGTCGCTCCAGCGTGAGGCATTAAACTGCGGTGTTTCTTTTTATAGCGAGCAGAATTCGCGTAGAGCATGAGAAAGTTGGTTCGGATGGCGTGTAAACAAAGGCGGCCATCGCTTGAGACTGGAAGTGGAGTGGTGAAATTGCTTCGAGCTGGAAAGAGCCGGAAAATGGGTGTGGCTTCCCCAATTGGACTCCCGGGCCGTTGCTCATGGCGCATTTTCCTTGCTGCTTTTAACCCTCCAGTTAATGATCAAAATTTGGAGGACGTTTGGGAAACATCATGCTAGCTTTCACTCGGTACATATAAAATTACTTACAGATTTAAACTACTTAAACGGCAGGAAAATGAAGTTGAGATACTGGGGCAGGCCATGTCATTTAAATCTGAGCGTTCCACCCGTTTGTAAACGTTTTGCCGGTTTTTACCTTATTTGGCCATCAATCTGCTGTGGAATAAATTGAGTTTTTCGAGCGTGCATGATCATTCGAGATGCGCCATCTTTGTCTGCGTGCCGTGCGCGCGCCTTCTACCAGCTACAGAGAAGAACGCTGAACGGGTTCCTCTCAAATTTGTGCCTCACTCATCTATTTTGCGCTCTAATCTGCCTAATTATCTCAATAGTTTTCGTGAAAATCGCTTTAATTTATTGAACCAACCTTATGTATTAATTATGAAATTAGTACATTTCAGGTTATTGATGTTAAGAATTACAAGATTAGAATATCAAATGACCTGCTACTACTTAATTTTATTTTATTAGCTTGACTTAATGACTTAATGTTATTTTGCAGTACCACCGTCCAAGCCAAAGGTGTGGGACCGAGACGGAGTGGTGATAAAAAGCGTAATCGGCCCGTTGAAAGAGGGCGATTCGCTTTTCCTCGCCTGCGAGGTTCCTGACGGTGAGTCCTCCGCGATTTCAACCGGTTAATTTATTCATCGTTTCAATTATGAATGAAAGCTGCGGGTGAAAACTTCTTCATCACTCCGGTATTCATTTGGGGTGTTTCCCCGCCATTAATCATCCGATTGAATTCATTTGAGATTCATGAGCACTCCATTAGCATGATTGCGATGGGGTCAATAGGGAAATGAAAATAGGAGGCAGTCCCGCTGGATGTGTGCTCTGTTGTAGTTACGTAGAAGGAATGAATGGAGGACATTAGCGAAGGAACGAGGGAAGGATGGTAGGATGGCAGGAGGAAAGGATAGCAGGAAGGGAAGATTTTTTCTCCTCCTCCCTTTTAATGGACGGGCTTCATGAAGGCTGATGACCACTCCTTATGATTATATGTTGCTCGTCTTCTTTTTTTGTTCTGTTCCGTGTGTCGTGCCCGGGAAGGAAGGAATTTGAGTCAGGCGGCTGAGGGGATTCATCCATCAAAATCGCGTATCGGAGGCTCTCTCTCGGAGTTCATTCCTTGTGTTCGGTCGTGCTCATGGAGGATGCACGAGTGAAGAACGAACGAGGGGATTGGAAAAAATTGTGCCTTGGAAGAACAGAAATTGGATTTCCTGGAAACCCTCATGAATGTTTTTCCAAGGCCGAAGAGTCATTTTCGAGCGTAACGGCTTTACATCTTATTTGCGTTCCAGCTCTCTTTCGCCTTTAGTTTCTGTAAATAAGCCTAATAATCATGAGGTGAGTTGCGTTTCGTTTTACCAATAATAAGGTCATGGATGGCTCACCCCGCTTTGCATATGCATCCCCTTAGCTAAAGTGAAACTGGTATCATGCATGGGTGCACGGGAAGCTCCATAATTCAGCCCCGCCGGTCGACGAGCAACCCAACGGCACGATACCCCCTTACCGCACCATGATAGTGATTGTTCTCGGTCACGACAAGAACGTTGCAACTGTCTGGTCTCGGTCATGGGAGTTCCACGGCGTTCCCAGGCCATCTGCAGGTTTTCTGGAGGGAAAATGAAGTGCCATCCGTCTCTGTTAATGATGGGTTAATGAGTTGTTATTAGGGGGTATGTATTGAGTTTGCAAGGGAAAAATTGGCCTCTTCGAAGAGTGTTGGACCGGGGCTCATCCGGAATTCCCTTTGTGCAGCTCCATAGTCGATGGGCGGGAGGGAGGCCATAAATCCAGAGGCCCATGAATAATTGACTCGAGTCCATTCCTCAGATGAGATATCATAACCCGATAATATGCATAAGAGGAAGATTACTCGGGGGAAGGACGTGATTCCCCTTTACAATCCACTGGCTTCTGCGAAGTATCATCTTTCTATCGCTCTCGTCTCGATGGGTCTCGTTTGTTCCGGAATTACGACCCGTCGTCGGGGTGGATGTCTTTCGGACGACGCCAATGAATTATTCAGGAATTCCCCCTTCCGGTGCTCGGAGACGCCGGATTTTCGGGTTTCTTTATCGCAGCTGCAGGCGTCGTAAGAAAGGGGGGACAATGAGACCAATTATCTTTCTTCCGGAGAGACCTTTTTTTTCCCTCCTTTTCCCTCGGGATATCAGAGACCTTTGGTGATGAAGAAAATAGAGAGAAAGGGGGAGGGGGAAGGGGGGGAGGGAAACAGCTGTCAAATGAACTTCTCTCTTCTGGGTCATCAGAACGGCCTCTTGGTCTTTATATACACCGGGGGATCCCCGGCTTTGTCTCAAGTACCCTGTTCTTTGGTGGATATCCACACTTTTCAACCTCCGTAATCCCTCAATTTTTTTCGGATCTTCTTTCCAAGAAGGAATGAGGTCTGTTAAGTCCATGTCTGTGTGTGTGTGCGCGCGCACGTGATTGTCTGAATGTGTCTCTTTCGATTGTTTTCCGACGGTGGCTAAAAAATTATCCGCCTGATCTGTGTGAAAAATTGCATATAGGTGCATATGGACAATATACAGGCTAAATTCACTTTTGTGAAATTAGTGCCCCCCCCCCCAAAAAAAAAACATTTTTTTGTACGAATTCTGTAGTTGAGATTTGCTCATTGCTTGAAAAGCATCAACAGCCACTAATCTTTCAGAATCCCCACTTGATGCGCATGCGCGGCATTCAACCTCGATCGATATGTGCGACAAGAGCCCCAGCTAGATTCCAATTGTCAAAACTGACTTATACATATTTGAAAAAAGAAACGGAGACTTGTTGTTCTAAGGGCTGGGACAAGATTATTGGCCAAATTCAGGAAGTGGCACATCTGGTACCCTTGCGCATCCTCTATTTTCCCTTTTTTTTTGCTTCTTTTTAATATGTATTTATTTATTTAGGCGTCTACCACGCCAAAGGAGCTTGCTCTGTTGCACAAGAGACTTTCACTTTGTCTTGTGCATTTTTTCCTCCAATCGTAACTCATTATCAACCTTGTTTGTATTTCAGTGGGGTCTTCTCTCTCAAATCCGAGATTATGGATGGGCTTTGGCTTATTGGTCGCTCCTCTTCATCAGTCATGGACGAGAGAGTGTATTTATCGTCCGTATTATTAGCCATCCAGGCGATTTCATCTCTCTCCCTCCCACTTGGGGACTGATGACAGACGAACATTAATCTTGTTTACAGTCTTCCAAGAGGAACTTCATCATTAGAGGAGGATTCACCATTTGTTAGTGGGGTCCCCCCTTTTGTAGAGCCGTCCTTTATGGGGACTCGGCGGGAAGTCACTTCCCTCCCCTTTTCACCCCTTTCATCTCCCTTGCGAACCTGCTCCCTCTTTCAAAGATGGATACTAATCTTTTATGTTGTATTAGATTTTTTGCATTATATATTTTAATTCATATTAATTTATATTTTCTACTGGCTTTCAGAGGAGCTTGTTCGTGGTGAACGAAAATATCTCCTCAGAATTGCTTCATTTATCTTCCGACAATCAGTGGAAACATTCCCCGAAATTCCCACAAATGTTCGAAATTGACGTGAAATGAGAATGTCTCATGAGTGGCTGTTCAGAAAGATGTCATTTTCGAGGTTCATTTCTCCATTCTTTCGCCGATATAGCGCAAAAAGGGCGCTTCGGTGGCTTCTTTTTCCTTAGGAGGGGCTTCCATTGCCGAGCACGTATACCGCAAAATGTGGAGCATAACAGCAAACCCGGAAGACATTTGGCGGAGAATGGCCTATTAGGCCTTAGAAGATCGACGGGCGACGCAATGTTGCGTCAGTGTGACTCATTGATGGAAAGGGAGTCGATGGAACGGGGAAAAAGAATTCTCACCGTAGTCTTGACGGCTGACCGGATACATCCGTACTCGTGACGCTGTCACTTTGCAGCTGGCTGTGTTGGCACGCTCTGCTGGCTTGCCTTTTTCTCTCTTTCTTCCCCCTTCCCCCCCATTTTTTCGTCGTTTTCGTTCTTTTGGCTCCTATTCTCGGGAGAGCCTCGAATGTTTTGACAATTAACAGTTTGGAATGTAGCAGCATTGACTCCGCTCGACAGCACTGTGGGGAGAGGGTGAATCGATTTCGCACATTTTCTTTGGCAGTTTGTCATACGTTTTGGCAATTCTCCAGCAGCGGAATATAGTAATTTTGATGTCATTTCTCAGCGTTGTCAAGGAAGTATCATTCATGCTGAAAGGAATGCAATATTTAAAAAATAGCCTCGCTCTTTCTTTCCCGAAGTATCTGACGCAATGAACTGCCTCAGCTCCTTAGCTCCTCACTTTTGCTATCTTTGTGAATCGGTTGAAGTCTTGGTGATTTCGTCTCTCTCGCTCTTAAAATTTAAACTGTAGATTGTAGGGTCCTGAATGTTAAACTCGTTCCGTCAGACGTCTGCACAATAAGTTCGAAAATAAATATTTGGGGAAAGTTGGAGCCATTCGCGAAAACTCCAGGAAGTTTTGGGGAAAATTGCCCATGAGTAAAAAAAAAAAGTTACTGCGCCGAGGAATTGTCATCCGGCAGCACTGCACAATGATTGCCGAAAAGTTTCCCTGAGACATTTTCCCGCATTTCATTTCGAGCCACCAAGTCGTGATAAATATCTTCTATTATATTTCGGAATGGGGACAAGGCCCTCCGACGTCGTTTCGAACATTATTCAGTCTAATTATTCATTCACAAATGAGATGGCCTTCTCACACTATCTCATTGGACCAGGACGAAATCGATTCCCTTGTCGAGGAAATAACTGTGAATGGGGGAGTCCTTTGCTGCTCGGTCGGGGAAGCAAATCTCCGCTCGGCCGGAGATGAAGAGCACCCGAAAAAAAAAATAAAAGAGGGAGAAGGAAAAGAGATGAAAAGAAGAAACGAGAAGCTCAAGGGGAATCGATGTCGAATGCCCCCTAGAGAAGGAGGAGAGAGGAAAGAAAAATCTTGATTGCAGGCTACAGTCGTCGCCGGACGCTGAAATAACGCCCGAGCGTTGCCTCGTCCTCCCGGTCCTCATCGCGGTCTGCTCCCCGCCCTCGTTGTCTGCTTCGTCGTCCTTGGGCCTTCGAGTACTGATTACGTCTGATCGAAGCTCATTGAATTTCTATTGCTGCTTTGCTTCTCATTGGATTCCAGCTTTGACTTCTCCTTTCTGTCAGATCCAATTACTATCTGCATTTTTCTAATTTTAAAGTCGTACGTCCATTATTCACTCCCTTTTTGTCCATTGATTGTCGATGCTTGATCTATTTATATCAATGCCAGCTATTACTAATATACCTTATTATTACTTCTTATAGCATAGTATTATTTTTTGTCGTTATCGTGACATGGTTTACTCACAAATTTCATTTTTATTCTATTTCAAGTGGCTCAATAGATATATTTCGGATTCACATGCCACCTCTGTTCTAATTACCGGAATATTTTCATGCAGGTCGGCCCCCTCCGACCCTGAGCTGGTGGAAGGACGGCGTCAGCGTGGGACGCAACCAGACGCTGCGAGTGAACGGGAACTCCCGGTCGGAGCTCCTGCTGGAGAGCATCCGGAGGAGCGACCTCCACTCCGTGGTGGAGTGCAGGGCCTCCAACACGCCGCTCGTCGCCCCGGCCGTCGCTCAGCTCTCGATCGATATGAACCGTAAGTGCTTCTGGTGTGTCTGTAATTGATGGACCGTGACGGCAGGAGCGAGATGAGTCGGCGGAATTGAGGGAGTCCTGAAAGAGAACCTATGTTTCACGCTGAGTCTCTGTATGTCGTTTTGTTCATGTGCAGACGCTCGAGACATCGACCTCGTACGGAACAATTTCCTTTTGAAATGATGTCGGATCTAGGTGAGAGGGTAGGGTGCCACCAAGGCAAACAGGCAGACAGGCGCAGACGGACACAGACAGACACGCGACTCAGATGCTGTCAGTGCTCTTCTTATGTGAGCGGCTGACGTTGACAGGATGGGCGGCAGGGGTAAAGCAAATATCGATTTTGGCCTGCAGGGAGTCTGTTGTGGGATGAAGTGTTTGCCAGCCGAATTAGATGACAAGGTTCTCACTAGTGTGAGTGGCGCAAATTACGTAGTTTTTGAAGCTGTGGCATCCCTGCAGATGTGAACGAAACGTCGGCCCATGAAGAGACAATCTTCTGGGCGATTGCGTAAGGAGCTTAAGGAGCCCCTTACAAACAAGAATCCCCGGAGTCCGATCCAATCACGAGTCTAGTCCATTAGTGGGGGTACGGGATGAGGATCGATAGGCGAAACCGAAGGCTCGGCGAGAAACCGAGGGCTTGGCTCTTCCGTTAATTCGGTCGTTCCTCGTCGTGGGATGGGTCGAGTGTCGGAGATGCGTTGAAATTAGTTATGATCGATGTTCAATGGTCGATGTGTGGATTATGCGGGAGAGATTCGATGGAGATTGGCCGGCTTCTTTTCTTCTCGCCGCTTGAAAAATGAGTTTTGGCGATGATCGTTTGAATGCATAACACCTACTCAGGGATGATGAAGCGATGGCACGTGAGTGATAAAGAAAAGAGAAGAAAAATGAAAAGGGGGAAGTCGGGTGTTGGAGGTGGGTGGTGGTAATGAAGGGCAATGAAGGGCAATGAAGGACCGTGGAAGAGGTCCGTGAGAACGGTTTTATTTCCTCTGTCCTTTTTTTTCTTTATTGCTCGGAGGTGGAGAGGCTGCATTGAGGGTACAAAGGCGGCCGTAATGTCCTTTATACGCCTTTATACGCCCTTTATGCGCCTCTGGGAGCCATTAGTATTGTGTTTCGCGCTCCTTTCGCGGGGGTCCTTTTTGGAAGTCTGTTGGGGGTAAGATTTCAGCAAATTTGGGCGGTCGGGTGAACGGGCACTTTCTCCGGTGGACACTCCAGATGAGGCTGAAACCGGTTTCCCATCGGAGTTTCTGCAAGATGCACCACAGTTGCACAAAAATGCACGAACGATTCTGAAGCGAGACCCAATCAGTTGCTCCTTCCCGATTTTTACACAGGGTTTTACTTCCTCAGGATTAATCTGTCCTGAGGAAGGCAGAGAAGATAAAGAGTAAGCATACCGTCTTGCAAATTGATTGCTTGGTTCGTAACGAAAAAGAATGGAAGTTCAGATTCATTTAGAGCGAGGATTGCTGCGGGTGTTCGTCTTCATTAATACCTGACGCCATAAAAATATGAAATTCGCGCTATTCCGACTTCTTTGGTGGACAAAAATTCTGGGGGGGGGGGGGGAAAGATGTAAATAAGGATCTTTTGAAAGCGTGCAGGGAAACCAGTCGTCAGTCGGGCAAGGAGCAGAAAATATTCAGTTGGCGGAGGTATTCATCATCTGTCGGCGAGGGGATTAGTAATGATCGGATGTGAGTAAGGGAAGAAAGATGAATCGAAGAATGGCATGCGACAGGAACGGTCTTGATGACGCCTATGGACACGGAACAATCGCGTGCATCTTTTTTTTTATCATTTTCTCCCGGTCGTGCAAACGGTCGCCAATCGTTACGAGACGGAAAAATCATTTCTAGGAACAGAGGAAGAGATGGGAGGGATTCCCGGCACGTCCGAATTCGCGAAAATCCCCCCTGTCGCATCCAGACTTCGCACACGAGAACTGCCTTAAAGAAAACTTAATCCGAGCGGGACGCGAGTGCGAGAAGAAAGAGCGATGAGGAACCGAGAACACAAAGCCCCAGTCATTGTTGATGCAACATCATTCACCGAGGGAGGAGGCTGCCTTTTATATCGACGGGCCTGGCCTGGAGGCGATTTGTCATCCGCTCAAAGGCTTTCTAACCCCCTTCCCGGGGAGTGGAAGGAAAAAGAGGAAGAATGGTATAGATGACCGAGGGTATAGATGACCGGGAGAGAGAGAAAGAGATTGGGATATATACTCTCTTTCCTGTGGTCATGTGAAACGAGTTCCTCTCACGCAATCCCGGAACCATGCAGGCGATCCAACTTTTGTCTCTCTGCCGTGATCAGGGCCGTGATTATCATTTCCTGGATTCCCGCGGGGTCTCCCCCCCGACTCTCCCCCCTCCCCCTCCCTCTCCTCCCCTCTCTCCCCCACTGATAACAGTGGGGATAAGCACGGGTCTCGGATGATAACGTGTACGCGATGTCTCGTGCCAACATCACTTATTCCACATCCCCTCCCTTTTTACGGTCCTCGATATGGAGCCGTGATAGTCTTCTCTGTGTGCCGTCTTTATACTCACCGCGCTCTAAATCGTATCAAAAAAACTGCGAGGGGGGGGACTCGTGCTTCATAACAACTACTCATTTTCGCACTCTTATCTCCTGTGTTGCTCAATTCCGAATCCAAAGGAATGGCAGGAGACGAGGGTCTCCCGTTTGGCAAAAAACCTTCGCTGTTGCGTTTTGCGAGCTTGCAGTTAATCAAATTGCTGTCAGGAAAGACGAAAGCCCCGACGTAACCGTCACGTTCGCTGTTGGTTTTGAAGATGAAGAGCGCGAGCGGGACGAGCAGGAAAAAGCACGGTTCTCTCGCAGTCATGAATCTTGAGTACTCTTGACTGTCCAGCGGTACTTCAAGTAATATTTGGCGCCAAACAATTTTTTTTTTCACGTTTAATAGGGAAGGAGTGAATGTTTTGATGATCGTATTCTTGAATCAAATGAGGAAAATTGGTTAATGTGGATAAGCCCAGTTTTTCACTTAGATTTATCCCACAAACCTCTGACTTCTATGTAAGGGGAATGGGTCTTTGTGTATGAAACTATCTCTCTTTTTACAGGCCTTTTGGCAGATTACTTACTCTTTCTTTCAACCCTTTAATTATTGTGTTAATCAGTTGCATTACAGGGAAATACATTTTAATGCTCTTACTCGTGACAAGGCCATACGACGTAACGTATGAAAACAAATGTGCAAAAAATTAAAGGGCAACAAGGTTGTATCCATTAAGGGGAAAGCAAGAGATTGAAAGAAAAGAGAGCGGCATGATGAAAGACCAGGATGAAGCATTATCTCGATGCACTCCACTCCCTCGTCCCTCAAGTTCGCCCTTAGCACTCCCTCCTTGGGCCGCCCTCCAGGCCCCCCCCCCCCCTCTTCGTAATTTTCCGATAGCGCTCCTGTCTGTTCTGCTCTTTTCAGAAGTGAAATTACGAGCTGAAGTTCCTCTGTAATAATCGTCAACTTTTTTTTGGTCGGTCACAGGGCATGAGTCGAAGCTCAAGCCTTAGAACCGATAGTCCCCAACCCTTAAATCTGACTCAGGACTCCAACCCTCAAGAGTAGAAGTAGAACAACACTTGTCGATTCGATTCAATAGAAGACGTTCACTATTGTCACATGCGGAGCTTTAAAACTGATGAAACTAGGGCAGTAGATGCGAAGAGAAGGGAAAGAAACCCTTCCATATGAACCTTTTTGAATTAATGATGACACCCGTACTAATGGCATCACAAGGTTATTTACCCCCATGATAATGCACATCACGAGAGCATTACTTTTACAGCTGGCACCCACTCACCTTTTCATCCTTTCCCCTCCCTACAGTGGCGCCCCTGTCGCTGAACCTCCACCCCCGTGAAGGGACGTCCATCTCCGGCGTCCCGAAGGAGTTCATCTGCGAGGTGGTGGGCTCCCGACCCCCGGCCACCATCAGCTGGTCGCTTGCCGGGGTTTGGATCAAGAGCTTCCGGGATGACATCGTAAGTCCTCCATCGCCCTTTAACCGCTTTTAACCCTTTCAAACCTGGCGTCCATTCCAATGGACATTGCATTTTCATTGTGTCTATGGTAATTTATTGGGATTCTCATGACTTTGCGCCCCATATTACACTACAATGGAGGCAATTATGCATGACTCAATTCCATCGGAGGCCCTCCCGTCAGTTTTGTAATATTCAGTTATGTAATTAAATGTATAATATATTATATATCGTATGATATGATAAATTTATACAAAATATAAAAACTATATATAATGCATAAACATTTAAATTACAATAGCGAAAGAGCTCAAAAATGCAAAAAATTATATTATTCTGATTGTGGCCTTAATTCAGGTTTGAAAGGGTTAACCTCTTCTAACAGACTTAACCCGTCTTTAACCTTCACTCTAAGAAAAGAGTGAGCGATTTCCGAGAAAAGGAGCGAAACTGGAGTTTACTCCCTAAAAACAAGAAATTAATGCCGCTCACCTCTCTCTTTCCTGACAAAAACCCCTAACTTGTTCTACTAGTTTGAAAAGTACTTTCTTCGTTACTTCGTTTCGCGTTTTTAAAAAAGTTATTGATTCTGCTCATATAAAGGAGTAGTTGTCGATTGTACTTCCTCGTTTTTAGGGAGTAAAATAGCTAACTCCAGTTTCGCTTCCTTTTTCAGAAATCGCTCATTCTTTTCTATATGTGTACCCAGATAGAAATCCAATCCCATGGGAGAGGTGCCCTAAATCGCGGTGTGACCGAATTCCATCAGAAATCCGTGAATGATTCCTGTGGGATTCCCACCAGAAACTGTAAACTTTAAATCTCGTTCCTATAGAGGATAGAGGGCCAACCACGAGATCCAATCAGTTTAAACTTTGGGGATCAGGTGCATGGCGTCCAGTTATTTTCCCTAATTGAAATTTAATGTATTGGTGCATTCAGACAGAACTTATGAGAAATCCCTCTCGAGGAAGTTCCGGCGTCACGAAGCATACAGTAATCGCATCACGATCAGATCTGGACGAAATCTGCGATCGTGTAGAGAGCCCATACTGATTGTGTGAGGACAGGTTCCGTTTTTCGTGCACTTCTTTAAGCTTGTGGAAAGGCTGACGTATTGGAGGGATTTTTTTTTATTACCCATCATAGGCAATGATGAAATTTTGCATAGAATTTTTCCCTGAAACGCGATACACTCCAGAAATATTGGGTCTTGTCTATCGACCTTCTGCCTATTGATATTCAACGATCACTCTCGCTGAAGTGCAAATTGAATCGGACTGATTTCCCTGAACATTTCTAGCTCTTTTTCACGCTTTACCCAGGCAATTTTCAGGGAAATCAACTCTCGTGAGTTGAAGAGCGTCCTCGATCCGTCTAATGCAATTTCGGGCCCCGTCCATCTCCGTCGGTTCCATGAATGTAATTATGGAGTGGCACATCTAGCCTGGGTTAGGAAGATTGGACTTCTATCAAGTATTATAATATGAACTGGTGTGTCTTATGGATAAGTTATTGTAAGAGGGGACAGAGCCAGAGGTTTTCCTATGCTTTCTTGTTGGGGGTCGAGAAAGTTCGTCAATTTACGAAGTCGATTGGATGCAAATTTCACCCTATATTCAAGCAGCTTCACGCTCTAGTCCCTTACTGTTTCCCGTAAACTCAACATCATTCCATCAGCTTTGTTCCCGCACCTTTCCTTGACGTCTTGTTAATCATAATTATAATTATAATTATTTCCGCGACGAGCAGGAGTCGTTCACGGGGAACGTGACGACGAGTGTGCTGCAGTTGACGCCTCACCCGGACGACCACGGGAAGGTCCTTCAGTGTCTGGCCGAGAATCGGATCCTCAAAGGGCAGCACATGAAGGCCAGCATCCAGCTGAACGTCCTCTGTGAGCCCCCTCCTTTCCTACCTTCCGTTTGTCTCCGTCTCAATCGTCCTATAAATAGAATCCCTGGAATCCGATTCCTCGTAATGGAAATCTTCCTAATCCTCGCCGGACTGCCATCCCCCTCCGAAGAGCGATCGCTTCATCCCCTTCATCCCCCGCCAATGAGCGAGGAGGGAAGGGAGGAGAAGGGAAGCGAAGATGAGGAAAGCGCGGAAAGCAAATGTGGAAGTTACGGAGGACTGCTCCGGGTGCGCCTTTCATTGAAAGACTGTCGAAGGGACCATTTTCCGAACCGATGAACCGCGCTTCATCTTCCCTTTCCTCGATCTCATTCTCATGGTCCATTTCTTTTTGAAATCCCAATATTCTTGATGCGTTTTCCTCTTTCCTGCTCCTCCCCATCTCTTGCCACGCGGACGGCGCAAATCGCTCCATTGATTAAAACATTCCTGGAAACTTGGAAATCCTTCCATTTAAAGGAAAAGTTCGACGTGTTGAAGTTGAAACTAGGAAATCAATCGTGATTCACTGTTGAATAATCGGTTTTCAACATCCATTCAACAGGAGTTCAGAAGTGGTCACCATCGAATCACCTTTGATTTACCGTTGAACCCTAATCCACCGGTGGTTCACCGCTTAATCATCGTTGACGGTGAAATTTTTGTACGGATAAATTGCGTTACATGTATTAATTTTATAAGTTACGAATTCTAATAATGTCATATTTGCATACAAGTCTAGAGTTAATGAAGTTAAGAGTAAACAAAGTAAGCGCAAGGCGAAGTTCAGAAAAATACAATAGGGATAAAAATTCATGAGGTCGATAGTGCTATGGGATTTGACGCACTTCCCACGCGATGCCTCGCATATAGAACGCATTTTCCCCGAAGGGGGAACGCGAGGACGATGTTGTCCTTACAGAGCAGGATGTTGTCCCTATATTGCAGATCCCCCGATGGCATCGCTGGCGCTGGGATCATCAATCAGATCCGCCCATATCAGCGAGGGCATGGACGTGTATTTGGAATGCAGCATCCGGGCTAATCCACCGCCGAGCCGCGTCAACTGGCTTCGCAACGTCAGTTTCCCTTTCCCCCGTCTCCGTATTGTGTCATATATTATATATACGGGAGGACGAGATGCGTTGAGACGGTGTAAATCCGCCGTATCTCGGCCGGGGATTGCTAGGATCCCCTCCCCCCGAAGAGGCATCGCTTCTTAAGGGAGAAGGCTCTGCAAAGAAGCAGTCCTTTAAATGGTTCTTTAAAGAAACGCGGATCTCTGAAGAAGCCTGGTCCTTTGAAGAAGCATGGAAGTTTCTGGGTCTTTTCCTTTCATCTAACATCCGGAAACATGAATAAAATAAGCCATCTCAGTTTAATATTACATGGCTAATCGGAGCACTCCCGAATGCTGTCGCTCCGCATCCAAACCGGAGGAATCGATCCAAGCCCCTAAACTTACAAATAAGAGAGAGAAAGGCGAGATAAGCGGGGAACGGAAGGAAGAAATCAATCACCGGCACTCACCCCTCCCGATCGGATCGAAGATAACAGAATTATTGCTTCTCTAATCCTCAAACCGGACCGGACCCACCCCACTATTTATCCTGAATCTCCAGAGGAGTTGCCTCGTTATTACATAGTGGATTCGGCATGAGATGAGAGCCCCCCCCACGGAATTCAATTAAAGGATCGAAATGAAGTCTCCCCCCGGGGTTTCATGGCATGGTTCACCTCAAAATATTCTCTCTTTCTCATATCGATTTCTTGTCGTTCTTCCGACCTTTCTCTTTGGTCTCCGACCTTCCCTTGCGAGAAAGGCAGATTCCCTTTTAAACCGATCCGGGTGAGTCCTTGTCGGCTCGCAACAAGCCTAATAATTACATGGAGCCAATTTTTCATGCATTTTTTAAATTGCCATTTTATATTGAGAGGCATACTTAAACAATTCCTCGTTTTGCAGCGCTGAAAATGGCAATATGAGAGAGACAGATGTCTCTTTAGCGACTTTGTGCGTTGCATTCATTCCTTTGACTTCCTGGATGCCTGTGGGCGTGTGATTCGCAGAAGTAATGCGATTGAGACTGCAAAGTCCTGATAATAGACGAATATTAGCCATGACGGCGACGTGTCGGATCAAAAGGGAGACGGAGCATCCCCATAAAAGGCAGATATGACTTTAAAAAAATAATCACCAGTCATACCTTGGAAAAAAGAGGCAGACATGCCTTGCAAAAAAAAAAAACAGATATGCCTGGATAAAAAAAAATGCACAAAAAGCAATGCCAAGTGCAAGAAGCCCAAGACATGCCTTGTAAAAAAAGAGAGGGGTCCCAGCTGCCCCTGACATCCCACTATACCCGCCGATCCCACTGCCCCGAAGGGATTGGCTTGAACCAAGGCAGCGCATATCCATATCCTCTCAGTCATGAGGATATAGATATGCACGGAACACGGGAGAAGAGAGGAAGACAGGCAAGGCCTTTCCCCGGCTTTTCATTCTTTAGCCGACAAGGACAAATCCGGTTCATTCGCCATGAATATTCATGAGGCAGATCCGCTCCATTTCCGACGGGGAACAACTCTCCGGGATACAATTACCGGGTACTTGATCCCCCGGAACCAAGTTGGCAAATTCTTTCATGTCTTCTCTTTCTGCTTCAACGAAGTTAGGGCGGTTAAGAGCCGAGGCGTCTCGAAGTTCTGCTTACGCGGACGGAATATAAAACGGCAAAAGCCTTGATGGAAACGTGTCTGTCTTTGGCAAAAAAAAAGGAGAAAAACGGAAAGAAAAGACGACAGAAAAAAACCCCGGAGGAAATGGATTTTTGAGAGCTGGCATGGTCCAGCATACAATCAGGTGAATGGAAGCAAGCTCCCCCCCCCCCCCCGGAGTGGCATTTGATGCTCCGTGATCGATCGCGTCGCCCTGATCCGTTTATGATCGCGTGGCAGGGCGTGCCGTTGTCCCCGGAGGCGACGGACCGGTCCCTGCTCCTCAAGCGGATCCAATGGGACCAAGGGGGCAAGTACACCTGCGAGGCCAGGAACTCTCAGGGCGTCGGGAGCAGCAACGTCCTCCACCTCTCCGTCGCTTGTGAGTTTCATTTTTCTTTCCTTTCGCTTTAATTTTTCATTAAATTTAAATTTTGAATTTATTTTGATCGGTCATGCGTCCTGCGTTGGATGAGAGAAATGAGTGGTCGTGCGTCATTAGATGCTCCTGAGAGCCCTTTATTCATTCTGTACTTTCCTTTGCGTGCCATGTCAGGTACTCTGTATTATTCTTCCTGTTAAATTATGCATGCGATGCTTTTTATCCTCCGCCATGTGTTCAATAATCCGGCTCGACCGGCTTTCGGAGCGAGCAATTCTCGGAACAGGGATGCAGGATCGGTTGATGCTGCATCTGATAGAGTTGTGATCCAAAATTTTTTTTTCGGTCTAGATTTCGGTTTCGTCCGGAAATTGAAGTCCTTGGGGAGCTCAGATCATGGCGCCAGCCATGAAATGTGTCAAAAGTGGACTAAATGGCGTGTTAAAAATGTCATCCATTGATTTTCCTTCTATTTTAGCTGCCTATTTTCTACCCATTGTATGGATTTTTTTGTATGGAAAAATGTTTGCCTGGTTTTTACTAATTTAATGAGTTAAGAACACAATTTCCAATTTTGAAAGCAGTTGCATTTATTTCACAAATTTCTGAGAGCGGGTATGTATAAGCCACCCTCATTGTCACCGGCAACCCTCATCGTCTCCATTTTTCAACGATCGGGAAGTTGATGATGTCAGTCAAAATTATAGCATGACTGCAATGCGGAGAGCTGGATCGATGGGAACTGGGAATTGCGAGCTTTCTTGTTCTTTTTTTTTATTCGTGCAACCGAAAAAAAAACGCAGGGTCCCGTCTCTAGACATTCTCACGTGAATGGAACCGTCCAAGGCGGCAGCAGTAATTAACCGCCATTAAAAGTAACTAGCAGTAATTAGCAGGAATGCCCGGCCCGTTCTGTCGCACTGGGCCAAATGCGAAGTTAACGAATTCTCGAGTAAAAAATGCCAAGAAATTCGGTTTCAGAGCCGTCTCGAAATATCATGTTGAGGCACATTTCCGCGCCGATTTAATTTCGTGGAATCATACGTTTTCACTGTTAAAATTTCGCGAATATTAAATTTTGCTATCTGGATCCGCGCACATACAGAGTAATTGCAAAACTTCGCTCCGATTTCATTTCGCGATTCTTAGTGCCTTGTGAAATTCGAGAAATGAAAGCGGTCGCGAAATTTTGTCGCTGCACTTTTATCCAGAGCGGCGAGATTCCCCCCACTCCGGGGACATCCAGGGGAATGCGAGCATATGAAGGCCGACATGGATCAATTAGATGGCTTGGTGGTGCCATCCCGCGGGAGAGAGACAAAAATTCCGTTTCCTTTCTCTCCTCGTTGCCGAAATGGCTCCGGCCCATTCCGGTTTGTGAGCCGGACTATTACTGTTTCTCCGCGGCTTGTGTGCTTCCATTGTGCGCTTGGAGAAGATTTCGCCGACGGCGAAGAGCTCCATCTTTTAGGTTTTCCGACAGGAAGGAAGGACACTTAGGGAGAGTTGCCTCCCTCGCATGCGACTTTGTGTCTCAATGCCCTCGAGTATCATTGATCCGTTGCACGGAAAGCCGTCGTATCGGTTTATGTGCGGCACGCTCCTGGATGCCTGAAAGGAACAGTAACTGAATGTCATTAATTCAAGTTGCTTTTGTTCGTATAATGCGAACCGAAAATTCCCTGACCAAAAATTCAGTTTTAATTATTAGCTTTTATTTTAAATTAATTTTAAAATAAAGTTTTGGTTTTTAATAAGGTTTTTTGAAATACATAGATGCGCCACGCTGTTCGAACCCCTCGCCCCGGACGGAGTACGTCTCCCTGGGGGAGCTGGTGTACGTACCGTGCACGGTGCGGAGCAACCCGAAGCCGTCCGCCTTCGCCTGGGTGTTCAATAACACGACGGGCGGGGTGGCGGTGCCGCCGAGCCAGTTCACGTCGCACAACTTCTCGAGCGTGCTCAGCTTCACGCCGGTGTCGCAGTTCGACTTTGGGAGCCTGACGTGCACGGCGAGGAACGGGGTGTCGGACGCGGACTCGCGGCCCTGCGTCGTTCACATTGTCCACGCCGGTAAGTAATTTTAATGATAATAAATTATGTTGTCGCGTCGAGAAGCCGTGGGGAAAAAATTAATGCAACAATGACACTTTCGTTTCGCTTCGTTGGGTTTCGATGGGATTTACGAGCTTTCTGCAACGTTTCTCTCTCTAGGAAATAGGTTTTTTTTTTGGTTCAGCGGAAATTGGAGCAAGTAAACAAGGAATGGAAATGGGGCCACGTCTGACAGGCCCATTTCTCTGATTTCTTAGGAAAAATTCCCTTGCTCCCATTTATAATAAATGCAGGACTCTCTTATCGACAAACAAGAAAAAAATTGTGAGCTTGTTTTCCTCCCGTGCTTCTTATCTCATCGCTGCCACACCTTGATGGCTGATGTCACGAGATGAGATTTCTCTTGCCGAAAGCGGAGAGGGAAATTTATTTCCGACCCGAGAAAGTGGAGCCGAAGCTGGTCGTGTGGGTCGCTGTCATGGGTTGTCGTGATGGGGAGGGGGGTGGCAGTGGAGGTTTCTTTTCGAAGATGTGGGACAATCGAGGATTTGCGGATAAAGTCGTTGAGGTTAAAAAAAAAAACCTTATTTGCATACAGTAAAAAATAAATAAGAGAACAACCGAAAAATCAATTATTTAAATGTAACATTTATAACTGCAATAACATTTAAAGAAAAAATATTTGGAGAAAAAGACCTAAGCTAAAATGAAGACTATGAGAAACTTAAGACCACCAACTTTAGTATGGAAATCGCCTTCCTTGGAGGGCGAAAAAAGTGATTTTTTTTGCTTTGTCAATACTCAGTCGGTGCTTGACTTGTGCGAGAACCCTTTTCGCCCTCTTGGGAGTTTGTATGAGAAAATTTTCGATGGCGACGTGCACCATCGTCGGAGCGCCGGTCAGATGCGATAATTATGCCACCAGAGATGTGTAACAACTCTTCTCCGAAGCAAAGGGGCGTTTTTGGTGTTTCCTTGGAGTTCTTGGGGAAAGCGCAGAAAGAGTTGCAGCGCTCGATTGATGAATGCAGGAGGAGATGGATCTTCTTTCCTCCCCGAGCTCTTCTCGCTTGCCTCCGACACATGTGCCTCCGCTTTCCCCCCGGGGATGTCGTAATCGGGCTGAAGGCAGTCGCATTCCGTCTCTGCGTCACTCCTAACCGGGATTGATGAATTCATCATGAGATCCGCATAGAAGCCTCCCAAGATTTTTCCTCTTTTTTTTTATTCGAAGGAGAAGGGGATGGGGGGGGGGGAAGGAGGGGGGGGGGGGGGGACCAATTTCCAAAATGGGTTTTGCCGGCGACGATTTTTGAGCCGCGTGGCCGCATTGCATTTAGAGGGGATTTGGAAAGAATTTCCCCCCCCCCCCTTTTGTCCCTCTATCGATTCCGCGCCTTTCATCGTGCAATTGCCCAGTACCAATCTCTACGATGGATGGAACTTGGTCACTTTATGCCTTGTATCGATCTGGTTCAGCGTCGAGGCGTGGCGTCTTCCTGTTGCCTCTTCTTCATGCCTCTACCTCGTGTCATGTCATACCTTGTGCCTCTACCTCTCGCCTCTACCTCTTGCCCTCGCCTTTGTTAAGTGCTGTATTTTGCCAGGCCTTTTCTTTCTTTCCCACTGCGGGGGGGCCCCAGCTGCATTCAATCTTCATCTATCAGGCACGTATATCCGAGGCTATCGATTACCGTCGAATGTGCAAGTATTCCCCTGGCGGCCGTGAGATGACGTCCTCGCGAAGAAAGCTTGCTCGCCCATCTGGGGCGTTGATTCAGTTTGATAGGAGAAGCATCTGCATTTTTTTCGCCGTGGGTGGAACGTGAAGGCTCTTTAGTGCTTCATTACTCTTGGCCGGCGGGATGAGATGGAAGGCCGATAATTGACATGCAGTCGTACAGTTTCAGCGGATATGCTCCATGAATCACGGGGTTTGATGTGTCGTACCTTCATGCTAAATTGCTGGCCTCAGAGGGTGGTAATGAAAGGTCTGAGGGAGGAAGATCGATTCCATGACCCCATTGTTTCGTCGGCTAATGAAGCATAGCTAATTGCCTGTTTGCTCATTAGCTATTCCTTCAATTACAAGCCTTAATTACAGAGAGCGACACGTTCCATCCGGCTATCACTCAATGGGAATGCGACTATAAATCCGCTCCTTTCTGCTTCTTTGTGTGAGACCAGAACACAATGGCACATTTGAAAGGTCGTCGGGCGGCGAGGAGGATGTCGTCATTTGAGGGGGGTTTAATTCCTGTGATGCTTCGTGCTAATGAGCTTATATGGGAGGAGAGGGGGAGGGGATCTGGGACTATAACTGGAAACTTCTTCATCTCTCGCTCCCGGCTGTAATCGCTGGAGCGTGGGTAGGATTGGAATTGTCGCTCGCCGTTTTTCTTTCCGTTTTGTGTTCGTTGTCGTCCTCCATGACCGGATGGATCCCTCGTCGTGATAGTCTGCGCTACCACTTGCTACCGTTCTCGCGGCCTCTTTACTTCATTGTCTCCACTCTGTCGGCTACTGCGCGATGCCTCCATCTGTCGCTGGTCCAGATGGGCTGCCGTCTCGCTGTCGAGCGTGGTTTGGCCGAAAGCTTTATGATGGCGCTGGTGTATTTGATACGATATTGGGGATGTGGCGGTGAAGTGTATACATCAGTGCCATGAAGCTTTTGGATGAAATATGCAATAAGGCCAGAATGCTGAAGCCTCTTTTAGTTAACGATCTGTCCTAAATCCATAGACTCCTGTGGAGAAAAAAAGCTCTTTAGCTTAAAGGGCCTTTTATCTCGCATAAGTGAGGTTTCAACATTTGGGCTCTCTGTTTCCTTCACATGATGGCATTTCTCAGGTGATATCTCTAATATCGATTTTTTTTTCTTATTGCTGAATGAGGAATTTTAATTTCGAGCTAGACAAGGAGGAACTGTTTACACAAATCTGCGAAAATGAGAGAATGAAAGCCAATATTGGATGCAATCCATCCTACAATGACGGCAGTATTTCTCGGCGTGGCAATCTCCCCTGTATTTTCCTTGTATGATGAATGGCTGACATATATTAGACTATGACTCAGACACAAAGACGACCCATTCGAGCATTCAGGAAGATTATTTCATTTTTTCTCATTTAAAAATAAGTATCGATTCATATACAGTAGAAAAGTATCGACTTAAGGGGTTAACACGAAATCACGAAATGCAGCAGCACTCATAGATATATCCTCATTCATTGTAAATTCGTAATTTTTTTCCATTTTTCTTCACATTTTAATGTTTTCTTCTTGTCGAGGAAGTGCAAGTTTTCTGGGATATGCGGTGACAGACGACCGCATCACTTTTTGAGAATATCGAAAAGAACAACGTGAGTTCTGCTGCAGAGACCTTAGAGAGACACTATTTTCAACCAGCCGAACGGAAAGTTTCTGCCGGTCGCGAGGCACGACCTTGTCTTAGGGATTCAATTGGTACGAGAATCAGGAAAGACCAAGTGATGCGTTTTATGTGAACTCCGTCTAAGGCGATGATTTTCCTCTGCGAGAAAGAAAAACTAACGACGGCGAGATGGAGGAAATAATTTCGACAGTTTTCAGTCACAGTTTTTAGTCGCAAAATGAGGATATTAATTTTTGAAAGTAGAAAGTACCGTAGGGAAGGGATGAAAATGGTCATGGTTGTAAAAGTCGAAATCCTGTTCGTTTTTACGTTTAAGCAAATGAAATGAGGAGAACGATGAGGATTTCACCGTGCCTGGAGAATGACGCAATGGGAAGCACATTATCCCAATTTGCATTTTCAAAGAGTTTGCTTCCAGTTTGCCCAGAAATGAAAGAAGTTGGCTTTAACTGCACGTCTCTAGATGTGAAGGACATTTCGTTGAAGCGACATTGGATCGTCTTTGACATACAGTCCTTTCATCGATTGAATTTTGCAAGTAGTTCTTGCGGATTTAGAGAATTGATAATCCCGGCTCGGTTTTGATATTGTCACAAGGACGCTATGTAAATAGTGGATTAAGATCCTCCGCTGCCACTAGAGAGTAATCGAATGCGCCGTCGTTGCTACCCGATTGTTCTGGCATCGATATGCCTATGCCCTGGGGGGATATTGCAAGAAAAGGAAAGAGTGGAAACCGGAAGAAACGAGGAAAGAGCGGAATCGGGACAGATTGGCTTAATGCGAGGCACTGGATAAGCAGACACGACGTGAAAGGAGGAAAAAAGTTTTCCTCTCCCAGACGATCCCGGGGGAGAGAGAGATCGTGCGCGAACGAGGAGAGCAATACGCTGGAAATGGAAAAAATGGGAGAACCACCTACACATTTTTGTGTAGGTGTTACTCTTCTGTGACGGGAAAAACTCATAAAAAATGCACTCGTTTCGTATTTAACAAGATAGCAAGCTTTCTCACTTCTTTCCCGTCCTGTATGCATGTCTGACGCCGGATTGGGTTTCAGTCTTAATGAAGTCCACGTCTTCGTGAACAAATGTCCTTTGGAGGACGATTGATCGAACCGACCATTTCAGTTTCTGAATGGCATGTGTTCCTTTCGTGCTTCGTCTGATGAGAAGTTAAACCCTCGGACTGTTGGTTTTTTGCATTCACGAAATCGAGGAAACAGACCGGTGTCATGAATATTTATATATTTTTGTCCCTGCAACTCTCACGGAGAAAATCAACTAGAAATCCAAGAATCTTTTGAAGCAAAGTTCTTCGAAGACTTGAGGGTCCAGTTCTGACACGAGCAACCCGTCCTTCCTGCACGTTCCCCGGACCATCTCGCGGAAGGTGTCGTTCATGACCAGCCATGCCATGTCACATCCACAGTTCAAGGGATTAGCTGTAGGAGACACCAAAGTGGTTGTCAAGGCCAACATGAAAAAAATAGGATTTGTTTATTGCAGGTTTTGAGGTGAATGCTTTGTCCTTTCACGATTTTTGAAGTAGGAACGTAAGAGTAATTGTCAAAAAGCTAGTAATCGATCTGATGTGAGGTAATTAACCAAGGGTGTGATTATGATCATACCGTGAAGGTTTATTGACCCGTTTCCTTGGATTGCCACATCTTCCAAGAGTGGTTTGAAGGTATCTTCATTCACTTCTTGAATGTTATTTCCGTACAGACTAAGGTAAGTGACGTTGGTCAGACCTAGGGAAATGTGAAACAAGAGATAGTCAATATTCTCTTTAGTACACTAAGAGGGCAGCGAAAAGTCTCGAACGCTTTACCAGATATTGCATTTGGTTCCAAGTTTGACATGTCATTGCCTTCCAGATACACGTATTGTAATGCATCACTTGCGAATTCCAACAAACCACTTGGAATGAGAAGGTTCGGCTGGGTCCACGAACAATCAAATGTAACCAAGCTGTCCATACTTGATACTAGCCCTAATGGCAAACCCTCCCTGACGAGGTTTCCACCTGAAAAATGCCAAAGATCAATCTTTTTCGAAAGTGGACTTGACTTTCGAATTTGGAACTCTAGTTGAGCTGGGTGATCAATGGCCAATGATCAATTATGACCAATGATGGCCTTACTGTGGATATTTTGTGCCCTGTGCGAGATATCAATCCAGGGCCCCCCTCCCCCTATACATCTCCAGCTTCCTCAGCACCAACAATACATTGCGTATTAATTTCAGTTTTTTTTTCTCGTAAAGTTCAGGATAATTTGCAATGTTTTTTCGTCAGATTTTATTCATATTTTGTAGCGATTTGGCGGCTAACCGGTGCCCCCTCAAATCGGCGCCCTGTGTAGGCGCACCGCTCGCAGCCCCCTCGGTACGCAGTCCCTCCTGATAATCCATTCCATATCGCCACCCTTTTCACTTATATGCAGCCACAATAGGGTTAATGGAGAGATACGGGATGATGCTCATACCGAGTCGCAGTTCCCTGAGGTTAGGCAGTGACCAGGGTCCCTCTTCCAGAAATGTGATCTCATTATTCGCGAGATTCAGGAGTTCCAGGCTGTCGCTGTTAATCACTGGGACAAATATGAGATAATTGTTATACAGTGTCAGTTCAGTTAGTGCCGTCATCTCTGGCAGAATGTCAAAGGGGAAGGAATTCAAGTGATTTCCCTCCATGCGGAGGACTCTCAGTCGATCTCTCGAAGCGCGGAGAGCAGTGTTGTGGATGCTCCGAAGCATCCCATTATCGGTTATGCGTATCTCTTGAAAGGAAATATCCCCAAACACTCCCTCCGGAAGTTCTTCTATCTCCGACAATCCCAGATAAAATCTCCTGTAATGAGTGAAGAAAGATGACCGACAAGAGTCAGAAAGGAGATGGTACGGATTCAGTTCCATTCTTTCCGTGTTTATGACGCTAGAGACATTCGAATACTTTTTTTTCTTGACTAATGCAAGACACAACAAAGTGCTCTCTTTTTAGACAAGTTTGTAGCAATAGCTGCATGATTCCTTAATCAGGTAAGGCACTGATTCCCTCTACTGCCAAGAGTACAGGTTTACGGATGATTCGTCTGCTATCCTAGCAGCAAGAAATTCCATTGGCTTTTCTTTCCATTCCATTTGGAGTTTCTTGTGAATTCCTACGATACGGGCAAGCGTGGATTCCTCATAGGAGAAGATATACTGACAACTTAATGCATCAAGGGTATAAATTTGAAGCAGCATGTGGAAAATTGAACGCAGGAATTCTTTTATTCAGCTAATGTCAACTTTCTTCAAATTCTCTCTCTCTCTAAATATAATATAAAGTTAAAATCCTGCACATAGCCTCTCGGGAAATAAGGCACTCTACCTCATATTCTTGAAGTTCCAAGAGATGTTGTTGAAGGCGTGAAAGACGTCATCTATCGTTGCTGCAAACCTGCAGTCAATATCGACTTCCGTAATCGAGATATACACGCATTTGCACGGTGCAATTTCATCATACGGAGGGCACGGGTTCTGCCCCCGCACCACAGCAGACAAAAGGAGTAAGGTCAAGAAGGATTGCATCGCGATGCAGCTCATGTTTTTCGAGCCACTTACCAGACTTGGTATAGAACTCGGTGAATCATCACGGGATGATCTGATATCAGGATGGGAAGTATCCCACCTGATAGGAGTGGAAAGTGTTCCACCTGCTGGATTCACTGACGGATCTTTCCTTGTTCGTTTTCCTGGAAACGACGGTGGAAATTCCCCCACTATCATGTTTTACTCTTGCGTGCAAGTCTCTCACGTTGTCGCTTTGAGTCGCGTTGGTCGTGCTTCAGACTTGGTGCACGAGCAAGAGAATTGCTTTTTCCCTCAGTTTTAGGTGAAAATAATCGTATTGTTCGTTCCAGCTCGTTTTTCTGAATTTAAAAAGCAAACGAGGAGACTGACGATGTCACCTATTTCGAGAAGGATGAAAGAGGAGAGAAAGAAGTATGACATTATCGCAGTTTTTGTAATTTCTGACTCCTTGCCTGGAGCGTTCCCTGACAGCAGGAACGATAGGCAGAAGAAAGAAACTCATTAGACTTCAAATACGTTACTCTGCACGTTAAAGAGATTAAGCTGATACGAAATTGGGTCATGTTTGATAACATGCAGTTTGCAGGGTTGAGCAAACCCTGCAACCTTTACGAGCAGCACTAAATGCTTCGGAGAATGTGCTGAGAAGTGCAAGCATGCACCTCGATTAAATCCGCGTTCCGCCAAATGAGTCAATATAAATTAGTGCTGGGAATCAGGACGCTCAAGGCTTAATGAAAGACTTACTATCAAGTCTTGTTTGAAATTAGAGCGTGGGGTGATGACATTCGAGTTAATTTTTTTAGGTAGTTTTTTTTTTTTAAGGCTGCAACGATGCAGAGGAGAAGAATTCATCAGGATTTTCAAATCCCGCCTCTCGCTAGGGAGTAGCCGTGCAAGTCGCTGTGACCTCAATCTATCCGTCGATATCCTCGTGGGACGAAGAATAGAAAAGTGTTAAAGAAGAAAGGAGGTCGGAAACTACGTAGTTGGATTAACGCTAGGCACTTGATCGACAGGATAGACAGACAGGAGGCGAAGGGAAAACAAGTTTTTCTTCCTCGATCTCAGGGGGGATGGGGCAACCGGAGGCCAAGAGAAACGCTGAAATTGGACCATGGAGATGCAGATCCGTTTCTGCGGAGGTGATAGCGTCAAGTCAGGAGAGGAAGGCCATGAAAAATGCACCCCTTTCGTGATCCCCCCGATTGCATGTTCTCTCACTCTTCTCCCCTTTCCATTTCTTTTGTGTGTCTAAATCCTGATTGGGTTCCAGTCCCAATAATGTCCTGGTTTTCGTAAACGGGTGCTCACGGCAGGGGGATTGATTGAACCAAACCTTTTCAGGGTACCGTGCGATGCTTTCGTGCTTCGTCTGATACGGAATGAAGCCCTCATTCGGCTGCTTCTGAATACATGGAATCGAGATAACGATTCCATGCGCGCATATATTACTGCCCTTTGACTTTCACAGAGGAAGTCGGCTTGATATAAAGGGCTGCTTTTGAAATAAAGATGCTAGAAGATTAAAACGTCCAAATCTTGCGTTACATGTACCCTAATGCTTCGCACGAAAAGCTTATTGTTCACCAGCCTTGCCATAAATTTTCTGCTCGTAACATAAAAAGTGTTCTGCACTGTGAGCAAGAAAGGAGAAGATGCTTGTTGCAAATGTAAGTGGTCTGAAGGCAATTTTGAATATGCGTTTCCAATTTTGGAGAAATATGTAAGAGACAGACGATAGATTCTGCGACATTACAGAAATTACTTTCTAAGTAGCAGCAAGTTCCCTATTCCTTACAGGTTAGGTTCTTGGCCGGATATGGCATTGACTTCCAGGAACGCATAAGTGGGATATATAGAGTTCCAGCTCCTCCCCTTGAAAGTTAAAACCTAAATTGGTAACGCGCGCTTATTGTGAAGTCAATACTTGACGTTATTTTTTTGCGACGGAACCTCGCCTACATAGTTTCTACCGGTAAGGTGGCAAGAAAATCTAAAGCGTAGACTCAGAGATATAACTTTCAAAACGTTTTTTCCTTGACTCTTCAACTTTTTAGTTTTGTTTGAGAAAGGTGATAAATAGGGAGCCAAGCCCAAATACGCTTATGTATTCGCTTATGCAATGTACAACGCCTGTAAGTTTTAAGAGGTGACTCACACAGAATCAGAATTCCTTGTGGCTGCGCAGTGACCAGGCTCCCTCCAAAAATCTGATCAAATTGTTACCGAGATATGAGGGTTCCAAACTGTCCCTTTAGGTCACTGGGATGTGGGTGAGATGTAACGCAAGATTAGTAGGTGTCGCTATAACCGGAAGTATCGCGAAGTCATTGAGTTGATTTCGTACCATCACGACGATTTAATTTTTTTTTTCGAAGGAAAGAGAGCACTGGGATGAATATTCCGAGGTTTCTCGTTATCATGAATTCGCATATCTTCAAAGGACGCATTCCTTCCGACACTCCCTCTGGGACTTCATTTATCCCTACCTTCGTCAAGGGAAATCTCCTGTAATGGATATGAGATAACCAAGTTCAGGACTCAGGCAGGAAATCACTTGAATTTGGATCCTCCAATTTAATTATGCATAGCGCAAGGGGAATTTGAGGTGCCTTTCCTCTTACCCATGCTGAAACGCCATTAGGTGAGAAGTTATGCACGGACCACAAAAAATAATGTTCTCTCTTTAACCAGGTTTGGAAGTATGGAACTGTATGATTTTGGAACTAATTAAGGAAATGCTAATTTGCTTTAAAAGTAAAAATAAGACTTACCAAATCTGTAATCCTTGTTTCATCTGCACTACAAGCCGTAGTGTACGAGGTCTGATCAAAAAGTTCTAAGACTTAATTTTTTATGACGCTGTGGTGACTCTTTCTGACTGCTGATGGTTATATCCTTTAAACTAGACCTCTTCGGCATCTACACAAATTTTCCGGAGTTTCTTCAGCCGCTGGAAGCATTGCTGACACTCATCTTTTGGAATCACCAGCAGCGCTCGCGGCGCGTTCACAATTTTGCTTCGAATGCCTAAAATCTCCTTCATTTCAGCACATTCTTTAGTTTTGGAAACAAAAATAAATTACTAGGAGCTATGTTATTACTATGAGCTAGGATTGCGGGGTAGGTCAGAAACTGCTGAAATTGCAAAAGAAAGGAAATCTCAGAACATTTAAAACAGCATTACGAACGCGCCGCGAGCGCTGCTGATGACTCCAAAAGATGAGTGTCAGCAAGGCTTCCAGTGGCTGAAGAAACTCCGGAAAATTGGTGTAGATGCCGAAGAGGACTACTTTAAAGGATATAACCATCAGTAGTCAGAAAGAGTAACCACAGCGTCTTAGAACTTTTTGATCAGACCTCGTATTTCACGAGCTTGTGAGCTTCAAGTGAAGGAGATCCTTCCTCAAGCATCCTACTCGTCCAGAAAATACAGTTTGCATTCTCCGGATGAGGAGGATGCATCCATGACATGTCTTCAATGTAACTCCAAATGATTTCAATTCTTAGCCGGAATGTAAAGAAACAAGCAAGGGCGAGGTTGATGCGACCGATGAGTCATGAACTTTCAGCACCATAACAAATTTTTTGTAGAGCTTAAAGGGAATATAGTTATATGTAATGGAGGGTGACATTCGAAGTCAAACCTGAGGCAGGCATTGAGCAAGTTCGTCATAAAAAAACTCTTGGATAAAAATTTTCGATGCAGAGGTACACTGCATCTTCTTCTAAGTCCTACTGACGTTATTGAAGGCATGCTACTCGTTTCTGTGGGCTTGCACTCCATGCGAGTGACTCAATTCGGAAAAATACGTACTTTTACATATTTACGCGTACGCCCAGGAATTATATGAAGTTTTATAAAACTCTTCGAATGAGATATTTATCCTGTGTTAGGACAGAAACTGTTCCTTCCGGACTCCTGAAGACGTTCCTTTGGCATCCTTGGGTGTCTGTCTGGATGACAATTTATATTTTATGCTTTTAGCTGACTTGAAAGTGCACCCAAGTTTTTGGCTTTTTTTTTTCCTTAGCGTTTCGATCGCTTTTAGAGTCCCTGACTATCGAAAGTTATTCATGAAAATCATTCATAAGTGTCAGATAAATCAGTGATACATTATTGATCCCATGAAGCAACCCCATCCCCTGCTTTCTTGGTAAGAAATATTGTATCCTTTCTGATCATCGTTTTCCCAAACCTGAGGATTCGTATCATCATGTTTGTATTCCTGCCAAAGTTCTCTTCTATCTCTCACGAACTAAACAATGCTCGAACACTTCAGGATGAAATCCTGCGAGGAAATCCAGTTGTTTCTGCACGTTCTGAAAACTTTCGCAAGACGGGTCGAATTCGTGACCAGCCGTGCCACGTGCCCTGGTCAAAGGATTCCCTGCAAAGGTACCAAAACGTTGACAGCAAGAGGAACGTTCTAGAGCAGGGGTGTCAAACTCAAATCGGTCGGCGGGCCACACCAATATTTTTTCACCGAAATTTGTGCTAACAGTCAGTGCAAGCGGAAATTTCAAGAACAGACGGCGGGCCGGATGAACCACCGCCGCAGGCCGGATCCGGCCCGCGGGCCGTATGTTTGACACCCCTGTTCTAGAGGAATTAGATTTTTTCACATTGGGGCTCGTGCCGCAATTGCAGCTGTCAGAAAAAAAGAAACCTTATTTATGCAAATTTTTCTTTCAATATTTGTACGCAATGATAGGACGAGAGAGGAGCTGGAAATTTCCGAATATTAATGACGAAATCAGCGTCGTCTTTGTTATCGTGAAATCTGGTAAACATTAATGTTTTTGTCAGCGAAATTAGGGGGGAAATGCCATTAGCTAAAACGTCTTCGATTTTCGTCTCGTGACAAAAACGAAAGAATGAACTCTGCACTGACGAAAAAGTGGAGGAGAACGAAAACTCAGGACATCATGGCAAAATTTATTTTTCGTCATATATTCGTGTAATCCTGCCGAGGCATTTTGCGCTCCATTGCATATGAAATTTAAATATTCCAAAGGTAATATATT